GGAATATTGACAAAATACATTATCATATTTCTGCGCACGTTTCAATGCAGGAGGTTTGCCATACCATCTGAAATGGAACAAAAATCTGACAATCCAGAGACAGACAGTAAACTACATACAGAGCCAAACCAATACGACGGCATACAGAGACAACCCAGTACACCTATATACAGAGACAACCCAGTACACCCATATACAGAGACAACCCAGTACAACAAGAAACAGGGTCAATCCAGTACACCCATATACAGAGACAACCCATTACGACTATATACAGAGACAACCCAGTACACCTACATACAGAGGCAACCCACTACACCTACATACAGAGACAACCCAGTACACCTACATACAGTGACAACCCAGTACACCTACATACAGTGACAACCCAGTACACCTACATACAATCCACCTATATATACAGACAACCCAGTACACCTACAAACAGTGACAACCCAGTACACCTACATACAGCAACAACCCAGTACACCCACATACAGGAACAACCCAGTACACCTATATACAGGAACAATCCAGTAAACCTACATACAGAGACAACCCAGTACACCTACATACAGTGACAACCTAGTACACCTGCATACAGTGACAACCTAGTACACCTACATACAGTGACAACCTAGTACACTTACATACAGAGACAACCCAGTACACCTACATACAGTGACAACCTAGTACACTTTCATACAGAGGCAACCTAGTACACCTACATACAGTGACAACCTAGTACACCTACATACAGTGACAATCCAGTACACCTACATAGAGAGACAACCCAGTACACCTTCATACAGGAACAACCGAGTACACCTACATACAGAGACAACCCAGTAAACCTTCATACAGAGACAACCCAATACACCTACATACAGTGAGAACCCAGTACACCTACATCCAGAGACAACCCAGTACACCTATATACAGAGACAGCCCTGTAAACCTTCATACAGAGACAAACCAGTACACCTACATACAGAGACAACCCAGTACACCTACATACAGTGACAAACCAGTACACCTACATACAGTGACAACCCAGTACACATATATACAGCAACAACCCAGTACACCTACATACAGTGACAACCCAGTACACCTACATACAGTGACAACCCAGTACACCTACATACAGGAACAACCCAGTACACCTACATGCAGAGACAACCCAGTACACCTTCATACAGAGACAACCGAGTACACCTACATACAGAGACAACCCAGTACACCTACGTACAGGAACAACCCAGTACACATACATACAGAGACAACCCAGTACACCTACATACAGTGACAACCTAGAACACCTTCATACAGAGACAACCCAGTACAGCTACGTTCAGGAACAACCCAGTACACCTACATGCAGAGACAACCCAGTACACCTACATACAGTGACAACCTAGTACACCTTCACACAGAGGCAACCTAGTACACCTACATACAGTGACAACCTATTACACCTACATACAGTGACAACTCAGTACACCTACATACAGTGACAACCTAGTACACCTACATACAGTGACAATCTAGTACACCTACATACAGAGACAACCCAGTACACATTCATACAGAGACAACCGAGTACACCTACATACAATGACAACCCAGTACACCTTCATACAGTGACAACCTAGTACACTTACATACAGAGACAACCTAGTACACCTACATACAGTGACAACCCTGTACACCTACATGCAGAGACAACCCAGCACACCTACATACAGTGACAAATCAGTTCAGATACAACTTATATCTTATATTTGAGATTATTCCTTCTCAGTAAAGTACGGATTCTTGTTCTTCTGTTAGGCTGTGTCCCATCCGGGATTCGAGCCCACATCAATCGACAGCAAACAAAGGCAGCGATCTAATCACGCAGAAAAGAAAAGTCTGACAACTGGTAATCTAGATCACGTACATTTCTGTATTCAAAGGTTCAGGAAATTCGTTTAGCTGGACAGATTGTGAGAAAACGGAAATGTTTGACAGTTGTTGCTACCAGAGATTTTCACCTTCCTGGTTAGGGGCAATAGGGTAGCGAGAGGATGTGTATTTTCGTAATAAGAAGGTTGCTACTCGTATAACATGTCGTGATTACACAAAGAGGTCTGGATGCTCGCCAGCCGCATCGAACATCGGAGATAGGGATGATTCTTGCTCCGAATAATCGTGTCTTCTATATACAGTATAAACAGAATTCCATGTAGAAGTTCCACCATATTGTAAGTACTTCACATAAAGACTTTCATTAGTGTAAGAACCTTGTAGTCAACTTCTTGTGAAGCATACACTTGTAAACCATAACGTAGTACTTCCCTGTTGTAAAAGCTGATAATTTATTAACTGACTTTTCACTTTGTGCAGGTTCATTGGCGTTCAAACCTTCATACTAGGGTGTCCTGATTTGTGAATCTTGCACTCACGAATTAAAAATAAGTTGTTATCCATAAGGTTTGTTCTATATTGTACTTCCCAACTTCTAAAATGCCACTCAAAGAACTCATATTTTGTTGATTTCCTGTTTACATACTACATCATTTGAGAATATGAATGCACCACTCGATTCCACAATATGCTGCATATTCAGTGTCCGTCATTATTATGTTCTCAGCTTCCTGGGGAGTATACACTTGCACATCCCTAAGCTACCTAAGTCCCCCTTGTCTCCGTGTTTTTGTTATGATTCTGATCTATTATAGCATATAGAAATCCACCTGTAGCAATATGGTATTGGGTGAATGTGGAAGAGTGCCTTTACAGCTTACTTATACAACCAATGCAGTGAAATACTGGTGCAGACTTCTAAACATGCCTGACTATAGATTACCAAAACAATGTTATTTTATGCTATTATCTTTAGACAGGGTAGGACGAAACTCATGGGCAACTAGAATTAAAAATATTCTTTTTCAATTTGGCTTTGGATTTGTTTGGATAAGTCAGGAAATTGGTGATCACAAAATATTTATGGAATCATTTAAACAGAGACTACGTGATAATTTATTTCAATCTTGGCATTCATCTTTGGAAAGTAACCGTAAATGTCTTTACTATAAGCAATTCAAATCTTTGTTAAATGTTGAGAGCTACTTGATAAATAATGATATCCCTCAATATTTAAAAACTATATATTCCCGATTTCGGTGCTGTGATTTTAAACTAGCAGTTGAAACGGGCAGATACACTGATGTTGTATATAATGAAAGGCATTGCCTGTTTTGTAGACTAAATGGTATCTTTGTTGTTGAAGATGAATGGCATGTGTTTTATACCTGTGATGCATATTCTCATATCAGAAATAAGTACATATCAAAATATTTTAGTAAATGTCCATCAATTATTAATTTTATATCAATATTACAGAGTAAAAATGTTAATATTATGAAGGATGTATGTCTATTTTTATACTTTGTTGACAAGAAACACAAATCTAAATAAAATATATGTGCTCTACTTATCATGATTTATGTACTTGTATTTTGGGCCGGAGGCCTGTTACTGAAATGAAATTCTGTTCTGTTCTGTTCTGTATTATAGCATGTTAACAAAATATCACTTAATTGTTCTGTTCTGTTTCAGTGAACAGAATGACTGTCTGGTTGATAATGTGGACAGCACTCTTGGTAATGGCTACAGAAGGTAAAACACTGTACTGGTACTATTGTTCATCTCGTATTGTCATTGGTTAATATCCCTACTTTAGTCAGGATAATGTGGACAGAACTCTTGGTAATGGCTACAGAAGGTAAGACATTGTACTGTTACCATTGTTCATTTCGTATTGTCATTGGTTAATATCCCTACTTTAGTCAGGATAATGTGGACAGCACGCTTGGTAATGGCTACAGAAGGTAAGACATTGTACTGTTACTATTGTTCATCTCGTATTGTAATTGGTTAATATCCCTACTTTAGTCAGGATAATGTGGAAGAAGACAATACGGTATCAATGGAAACATTATTGACACATGTGGGAAGATGAGATTAGGATTAAATTCAAAATTGCTTCACTTATACAACGATGTCCTGACTAGCTGACCGCCTCCGTGGTGTAGTGGTGAGAGCGTCCGCCAGAAGAGCGTAAGGTCGCGGGTTCGATCCCCGAGCGCGTCATACCAAAAGACGTTAAAATATGGTACTTGTTGGTCCCTGCCTGACGCTCGGCATTAATGGGTACAAGGACTGGTCAGCTTGGAGTCAGTATAATGTGTCTGAGTGGGGTATTCATGCTTCACTGCGGCATGGTATCTCAGTGTGCTAGCACTGTAACACCAGCTAGTACAAGCAGCCACACATACACATACACATGCATGTCATGTGAGCGAAATATTCTCAAGCATGACGTTAAACCCAATTTCACCTCATATGACTAGCTAAAACAAAGGTTCGACCTCCTCGTTGGGGTAGGGTCATAGGTTGGAACCCAACATGCTACACCCTGCTCCATACTTCGTGGACTCGATTATACCCTATTTTGGGGTGTTTTTTGTCCGCTTGGCTTTTGTCCTGCTCCCAACAATTTTGTAGTGCTTTAAAACCGTACAAATATTGCTTATCTGTATTAAGATTAGAACCTGTGAAGATCCGGGTTAGAAATGGTCTTCAGCAACCCATGCTTGTTCTAACGGGACTAACGGGATCAGGTGGTCAGGCTCGCTGACTTGGTTGACGCATGTCATCGTATCCTAATTGCGTTGATAGATGTTAATACCGTTCATCATTGGATTGTATGGTCCAGACACGATGGTGTACAGAGCGCTGCCATATAGGTGTGTGCAGTGTTAAACAAGAACAAGTACAAGAAAAATACAAAACAATCATAGGAACAACCTCCACTCTGTACCGCTATATGTTCAGGTATTATTGGTCTTGTAACTCATTTACTATAGTTAAGTATCCTGTGTTTTTATTGAAGAACAAGCTCTTTATTTCCATTACGCAAAACAATGAAATAATATCGTCACAATTACTTTCAGCTGTTCCATGCCATCACACCCATCACTGTTCAGACTGTGACAGAGAGACGGGGGATTGCCTCTCTGAGTGTGACACTGGGTATTATGATCGACAATGTAAGTCTACCTGCAGCAGGAACTGTAGGAATAACACATGCGTGATCTCAGAACATGCTAGCGGTAACTGTACTGATGGTTGTGTGCCAGGTTATTCTGGCTTTGGGTGCAGCATACCATGTGACAGTCCAGGAGGTAGCTGTACAGCATGTCCAGGTGGTTGTGATGGAGGATATTGTCAGCTGGGGACATCCTGTGTGTCTGGATGTGTAGACTCCTACTACGGGACTGGCTGTAAAGCTGGTAGGTACAACTTGGTTATTCTTCTATCATGAAAACTATGTTGTATACTCCCCAGGGTTTTGAGTCCACGGAGAAATGACACTCCTACCCTTAGCGCATTGTATTCAGCAACTATACTCAAAGGCAAAATTGATGACACAAACAACAAACACAAGCAGTATTAAGTGTCACTCTTTGTTGTTTACAAGAAGTTTTGCGTAATTGTAAATTAGAATTGTAAGTATCTCCAGCTGATTCTGTTCAATATCCTCCAAGGGAACGAGTTATTTATATTAATTAACTTATTTTGTCAGGTACTACAGTGGGACTTTCTGTAGGACTGTCCGGAGCTTTCTTAATCATCTTCCTGGTCCTGTGCTGCAAGTATTGTCAACGCCTAAGGCAGAACAGGTGCGTGAGTGCCCGCGTCCTCGCATTGTTTATCGCAAGAACTGACACTAACGTGAATGTGGGTCCTACCACGACGACGTGAGGTGTCGTTCCTGACATCAGCTGCTCTGTAATGTACTGTCTGCATGTTGCTGTGTTGAGTCCGTCCCACCACTTGTCACTACAGCTCCTTACAATCAAACATTTTCTTCATCATAAACTGAACTGATCGTACTGTTCTAAACGTTCCCCGAGCTCTAGATTATAAATGTTGAAAAGGACGGAACAACAACATTTCTGTTTATTAAATGTGAATGTCTAGGATCATGTAATTCGAACTGATAAGTCTGTTTATAGGTTACCACTCTTATCACTAAATAATACCCAAAATATAATACATGTACTACAATACCTGGAAACCAATGTTTGACTATTCTCATGTTTATGTAGATTTGGATGCTAATGACATGTGTTTATATTATTCTTACTTCACTAGGGGCGGTAGGGTAGCCTAGTGGTTAAAGCGTCCGCTCGTCATGCCGAAGACCCGGGCTCGATTCCCCACATGGGTACAATGTGTGACGCCCATTTATGGTGTACCCTGCAGTGATATTGCTGGGATATTGCAAAAAGTCGGTGTAAAACCATACTCACTAACTCACTCTTACTTCACAGTGTCACCAACAAAACAGAGATGTGCAACAACGTTGCCGAGATGGGTGGCGCCAATGTACAGGAGCTGGAATGGTATACTGAGATTCCACTGACAGACATGACCTTGCCTTCTGGGTCAAGGTCATCTGGAGGGAACCGCGGGGCTGGAGGTGAAGCTGCTGATGTAGCGGGTGACGTTTATGACGTTGCAGATGGAGGACAACGGGGACTTCCTGCTGTTGCTGACAACTTCTACTCCATGCTTAGAAACAAATTATTTTGAAACGGTATTGATATGAGTAATGACGATGTTAATTATGTAACTCTTCATTTGATCTACTGCCCAGTGAAAATGGAATCCGCGTCCATACAGAGTAGGAAAAGTCGGCGTTTTTTATGCTCATGGTCAATGTATACTAAGACCTGTTGATTATATTAGCTGATATCCCTGCTAAACAATGATGACTTAGTAGGCTTGCAGCATTCACTGGTGGTTCTTGGAAAGGTCTTTCGATGCATAATTACAATGGGAAACGCCTTTCAGGGAAATTGATTCGAAACGAAACTTCAGAAGATTTAAGTAGAAAAGCTCTGCCCTGATTTTACTCATTTATCATACAATGGATAGTGTTCTAGGCAGGATAAAGCCAACGGATATTTTCGGTATCCGTTGGGGTCATATACGGATATCGATGCAAATTAGAGAGGTCATATGCAAATTTCAGGGACTACTTTCACAGTGTAAACAAACATGGCGTCAAGGGTCGGCGGTCGTGTCGGGATTAACGGCCGTGGTTACGGTACTGTCAGTGCTTTGATCCCAGAAAATTCATGCCTGGTTTGGATAGATGGAGTAGATTACAAAGCGAAGATAGAAATTCATCCTTGGCACGAGTGTGAGTGTTTAAAGAGCTTAGTAACCTTGTCAGTGATGTTTATATCCTCACAACCAATGATCAGTTTAGTACATCTTTATGTCAGGACAAACTACACGCTGTGGAGCTTAGTAACCTTGTCAGTGATGTTTATATCCTCACAACCAATGATCAGTTTAGTACATCTTTATGTCAGGACAAACTACACGCTGTGGAGCTTAGTAACCTTGTCAGTGATGTTTATATCCTCACAACCAATGATCAGTTTAGTACATCTTTATGTCAGGACAAACTACATATCCTCACAACCAATGATCAGTTTAGAGCTTTTATGTCAGTAACTTAGTAACCTTATCAGTGATGTTTATATCCTCACAACCAATGATCAGTTTAGTACATCTTTATGTCAGGACAAACTAACGCTGTGGAGCTTAGTAACCTTGTCAGTGATGGTTATGTTTATATCCTCACAACCAATGATCAGTTTAGTACATCTTTATGTCAGGACAAACTACACGCTGTGGAGCTTAGTAACCTTGTCAGTGATGTTTATATCCTCACAACCAATGATCAGTTTAGTACATCTTTATGTCAGGACAAACTACACGCTGTGGAGCTTAGTAACCTTGTCAGTGATGTTTATATCCTCACAACCAATGATCAGTTTAGTACATCTTTATGTCAGGACAAACTACACGCTGTGGGTTAAGCGATAGTAAGTTATCCTATTATTTGTTTTACATTTTACCCCCTTAACTTCATCAAACATCGCTTACAGGACAACGTGGTATGATGTGTTTAAATATCATTCTAAAACCTAGCTTATGTACGCAGGTCCAACTAATTTACTGACGTTTGCGAACTGCATGAAAAGAGAAATTGTTTAAGAAGTTTAGATGTATTTTGATTAAAATATGTCGTCTTGTATACGTCACGTGTTGAAGACAAATATGTCTGGAATATTTCTGACTGCCGCTATGTAACTTCAAGCTTCCACTGTATGTAAATGTTTCTCTATCAATCGTTCACTGGAAACATATTTTTGTATTGAATTGTCAGGTTACTATTACTATTTGGTAATTTACTTCCTGTGGTAGAAATGGTCTTCAGTAACCCATGCTTGTTGTAAGAGGCGACTAACGGGATCGGGTGGTCAAGCTTGCTGACTTTGTTGACACATGTCATTGTCTCCCAATTGCGTAGATCAATGCTCATGCTGTTCATCACTGGATTGTCTGGTCCAGACTCGATTATTTACAGACCGCCGCCATATAACTGGACTATTGCTGGGTGCAGCGTTATACAACGAACAACCAACCTCCTGCGCAACATGGTGTTACACGGAAATATTAGTGTACGATATAAATGATTAATTTGTTATCAATTTCGTTGTGTTTGTATTTTTTGACCGCGGGAAACTTCGCCTTGTTTCCCTGTATGTAGATGGCGAATTAACTTAGTTTAATGCTAAGTGTTGACAGAGTCCAGCGAAACCCAAACAGGGTAGTTAGCAGGCATTTACACGCCTCTCGATACAATATTACAATTTATCAATCACACTGCTCATGGGTCAGTCCAACTCTTCTTGCAGTGCCTGGCCAAGTTCAGCCAACCTGTCGGCGCCCTGTGACGTTGACCTTGACATCTCCCTGTCATTCCCAATGTTCAATGGGGAGATGTCTTAACTGTTTGATGGCTATAACATTCCGTGTTTCGCTGCCGAAGGTGAAAATTGATAATTTGTGCACGGCGAGCGCTCCGTTCCTTGCCAGACTTGCCTGTCAAGTAAGTCCAGTCTTAATATAGACTCATCTGAAAACGTAACAAGTGATCAGTTGAGATGTGTACATCCTGGGCGACTGCTGACAAAATGATATAGATGCAGCACATTTCGAGCAAGTAGATGCACTATTTCTATGACCCGTAACTTGTACACCAATAGTCTAAGTTTGCTGGAGCTGAAATCATTTTCGTAGAGCCTGGATTCTGAACAACGGATTCTGTACTCTTGTCGATCTGGACGTCTCGAACGAATCGATCGTCAACAGTTTGGTTGTGCTGGAACATGTTCTATAGTCTGCTAGCCACAGACTGTGAAACTGTGACTTTTTCCAGTTCCCAGCATGCCAATCGAGGACGCGGCAATCTCTTGTTTATATTAAAAAAATGAATGAACTCACAGCTGAATAATGAATTCAATCATTACAACTGACACAAATAATGTTCCTTGAAAGTATCAATACCACAGACACAGACACAGACACAGGCAAAGACACAGACAGACACAGACACAGGCACAGACACAGACACAGACACAGACACAGACAGACACAGACACACACAGACACAGACACACACAAACAGACACACAGACACAGAGACAGACACACACACAGACAGACACAGACACACACAGACACAGACAGACACAGACACAGACACACACACACAGACACAGACAGACACACAGACACAGACACACACAGACACACACAGACACAGACAGACAGACACAGACACAGACACAGACACAGACACAGACACAGACAGAGACACAGACAGACAGACACAGACACAGACACAGACAGAGACAGACACACACACACACACAGACAGACACAGACACACACACAGACACAGACACACAGACACACACACAGACACAGACAGACACAGACACAGACACAGACAGGCACAGACACACACAGACACAGACACAGACACAGAGACAGACACACACAGACACAGACACAGACACACAGACACAGACACACACAGACACACACACAGACACAGACACAGACACAGACACAGACACAGACAGGAACAGACACAGACACACAGACACAGACACACACAGACACAGACACAGACACAGACACAGACACAGACACAGACACAGACACAGACACAGACAGACAGACACAGACACAGACACAGACACAGACACAGACACAGACACACACAGACACAGACACAGACACAGACACAGACACACACACACACAGACACAGACACACACACAGACACAGGCACAGACACACACAGGACACAGACACAGACAGACACAGACACAGACACAGACACAGACAGACACAGACACACAGACACAGACACAGACACAGACACACACACAGACACAGACACACACACACAGACAGAAAGACACACAGACACAGACAGGCACAGACAGACACAGACACAGACACACAGACACAGACACAGACACAGACACAGACACAGACACACAGCACAGACACAGACAGACACAGACACAGACACAGACACAGACACACAGACACAGACACAGGCACACAGGCATCACACACGTAGAGTCAAACACACACACACACCTTCAGACACAGACAGGCACAACACAGACAAGGCAGGCACAGGCACAGGCACACAGACAGGCAGAGAGACAGACAGACACAGAGACAAAAACACATAAATATAGGCACAGAGAGACAGACAGACAGGCACAGGTACAGGCACAAAGAACATTCACAGACACAGGCACAAGCACAACAGACACCCAAACACAGGCACAGGCACAGGCACAGAGAGAGACATGAAGGCATAATGCATCACAGACACAGGCACAAACACAGACAGACACCTAAACTCAAACACAGGCACAGGCACAGAGAGAGACATGAAGGCATAATGCATCACAGACACAGGCACAAACACAGACAGACACCTAAACTCAAACACAGGCACAGGCACAGAGAGAGACATGAAGGCATAATGCATCACAGACACAAGCACAAACACAGACAGACACATAAACTCAGACACAGGCACAGGCAAAGTCAACAGCACAGACACCCAGGTGACTGACATCATGAGCATCGATCTACAGAATCGGGACACGATGACCTGCACAAACCAAGTGAGGAAACCTGTCCTCCCCCTACCATTACACTTAAGCCAGGCATGGGTTACTGAGGTCTCGTTGTAGCGAATGCATGCCCTGTCCTCCCCCTACCATTACACTTAAGCCAGGCATGGGTTACTGAGGTCTCGTTGAAGCGAATGCATGCCCTGTCCTCCCCCTACCATTACACTTAAGCCAGGCATGGGTTACTGGGGTCTCGTTGTAGCGAATGTATGGCCTGTCCTCCCCCTACCATTACACTTAAACCAGGCATGGGTTACTGAGGTCTCGTTGTAGCGAATGCATGCCCTGTCCTCCCCCTACCATTACACTTAAGCCAGGCATGGGTTACTGAGGTCTCGTTGTAGCGAATGCATGCACTGACGGTATACTGTCAGTTAAGCTCAGAATTATTCAGCCAACCTTCATACCAGTAAAGGATTGTCAGACAAATATATTGATGCTCGTTGATGAGTTTTACTGGTGTGAATGTTAAAGTGTGTCGACTCACACAATACTATGAGGTAATTTCTGCAGAGGAAATGTCCCGAGCCTAGAATTCTGACGAACGCCTTTCGCTCCAACGTTTCAAGTGTAACGGGAAATGTAATTCGGGGAGCACGCAGGCTGAGGGGTGTAGCACAGTGGTAACAGTGTCCATTCATCACGCTAAAGGCCCGGGTTCGATTCCCTCACATGAGTGCAATGTGTGAAGTCCATTTCTGGTGTCCCCCGGCCGTGATATTGCTGGAATATGGCCGTGTCTCAATGTGTGTGTGTCTGTGTGTGTCTGTGTGTGTATGTGTGCCAGTATGCAAATCAATGTGTGTATCTGTATTTGTGTGTGTCT